GTCAAAAGATAGATATGACTGGAACTTGCTCTCAATGTTGGTGCTTCAGGCTGGATAATGAGGACTGAAGGTCCTCTTACTTCGAGGACAAGTACCTGGTGCGCAATAACTCGTTGTACAGGGTTCCCGGTGTTCAAACCCGCAGGTCAGCGCGGTTACTCAACAACTAAAACCCTCCATTGACAAGATGAGCTCCTTCGTAAGAATCAGTAGCGGGGACTATTGATCCGGTCGCCGGGGAGAGAAACGCGCAGGGGGGAGAGGGGCTTGCGGAGGGAGAAGCAGAGGGAGGGGCTGGGTATATACACCGTTGAACACCAGGCACCGAATTGCCAGGTGTCTGAGCATTGAGGGCCGAGGGAGTACGTACCTTTCGTGCACCTTTCCAATAATGGTGCAGGTGCGACCGCAATAATGATGCACGTCGACAACAACAGGTTGTGGCCCAATCGGGACTAGCCCCCAAACACGCTTGGTGATCTGGGGGCTCACTGATCCGACGCGAAAACTACTTAACTTCTGTAACCCCCGCCGACGTCCCGCTCTCCCCTTTCATCCATCTTTCTCATTCACAACCTCCACTACATACAGCTACCCAGACGCGTCTTCTCCGCTCTCAATCACCGAAACCAACTTTTTCTCCCAAATCAACTACTCATCAAAATGACTGGAGGCGGCAAGTCCGGCGGTAAGGCCAGCGGTTCCAAGAACGCGCAGTCGTAAGTAGCCTGTTCGCTTTGCATGCTGTGCCGGTTCGCATCGGCCAGCTTTGCTTTACGTGTCATATGGTACTAACATTCGTTTACAGTCGTTCATCGAAGGCAGGCCTGGCCTTCCCCGTCGGTCGTGTCCACCGTCTGCTCCGAAAGGGCAACTACGCCCAGCGTGTTGGTGCTGGCGCCCCCGTCTATCTCGCCGCCGTTCTTGAGTACCTCGCTGCTGAGATTCTCGAGCTGGCCGGCAACGCCGCCCGCGACAACAAGAAGACTCGTATCATTCCTCGTCATCTCCAGCTGGCCATCCGCAACGATGAGGAGTTGAACAAGCTTCTCGGACACGTCACCATCGCACAAGGCGGTGTTTTGCCTAACATCCACCAGAGTGAGTCTTCATCAACATATGCAACTACCACATATTCTGACAGTATATCACAGACCTTCTGCCTAAGAAGTCTGGCAAGACTGGCAAGAACCAGAGCCAAGAGCTGTAATCTTGGTGGTGGTTTTGGCTTTTCTTTCCTGCTGGTCGGCTGCGCTTTGGGTTGTCATGACATCGGGGTCTCGGTTCAGGGTTCAGGGTTGATTTTTCGCGTTTGGGTTGTACAATAATCCCCCACGGCTTTTATGGCCGGCATGGTGATGAATGAGAATACCTTCTGAAGTTCATTACACGATCATTGCTACTTGGTTGCTCCGTAAACTTCTCCCGCCTCGCATGTTTGGGTTATATGTGTTGGGGAAGAGAACGCGAGCGCGTAAACTCGGTTGTCGATTTCGGTTTTACCGCCAGTCTTTCGTGTTCGGCGCCGGTGCGTCGTGTTAGCCACAGTGCCTTACACGATCCTAGCATTTTGCGCCATCGTCGAGACGATTCAGATTAGGAGCGACAATGTCTCCTCCTGACGGATTGTGAGCACCGTTTTCTTGTTTCTGACGGTCTTATATACACTAGTTTTACTACCAAGCTAATCTCCACATCATTAATACCGGTTGCATGCTCAGAACTTGAGTGGGGGAGGAGCTACAACTAAGTTAGCCTTCATGTCATTTGGTGGCGGCAAACGGAATATTCCGGGAAACGTACGGTCAAGGATTGGCGGAGGGAGGTTTCTCTCATATTTCGAACCTGCATAAGATTAGTTGGGTTAACATTCAGGGTGAAGGAACACAATTCCATCCAGAGACACATACCACCAGGTGCGGTTGGCGGAGTGTACGGATCAGGGTGCT